CGAGGTCAAGAGATCGAGACCATCCTGGCTAATACGGTGAAATCCCGTCTCTACTAAAAAATAAAAAAAAAAAACTAGCCGGGCGAGGTGGCGGGCGCCTGTAGTCCCAGCTACTCGGGAGGCTGAGGCAGGAGAATGGCGTAAACCCGGGAGGCGGAGCTTGCAGTGCGCTGAGATCCGGCCACTGCACCCCAGCCTGGGCGACAGAGCAAGACTCCGTCTCAAAAAAAAAAAAAAAAAAAAAAAGATTTTAAAAAGATTTTAGGGAACTATTGGGAAGTCACAATGGGTTTTGAAATGTGAAAACAACATGAGATCTGAGAGGGACCACGGGCAGAATGATATGATTTGGCTCTGTGTCCCCACCCAAATCTCATCTCAAATTTTTATAATCCCATGTGTTGAGGGAGGAATCTGGTGGGAGGTGATTAGATCATGCAGGCAGTGCCAGTTTCCTGTGCACACTGTCTCTCTCTCCTGCTGCCTGGTGAAGAAGGTGCCTCCTTCCCCTTTGCTTTCTGCCATGATTATGTGTTTCCTAAGGCCTCCCCAGCCATGAGGAACCATGAGTTAATTAAACCCCTTTCCTTGATAAATTACCCAGTGTTAGGTAGCATCTTTATAGCAGTATTAAAACAGACTAATACAGCTATAGAATTCTGGATTGATATTTTTGGGGGGCATTGGAAAAATTTCGTACAACTTCTTTAGCCTGTCTAGTTTATGACAAAAAATCTGCTATCATTTTAATTATGTTTCCCCTATGGTTAAAGTGATGTGCCTCTCTCACTACCTTCAAGATTGGTTCATTTTCTAGTATTCAAAACTAGTTTTAGTTTGATTCACGTGAATTTCTGAATTTCTTTGAGTTTATCCTGATTACGGTTCCTTCAGCTTTTTGAATCTGTAAGTTTATATCTTTTGACAAATAAATGTTATCCTGGTTTTTTTTTGTTGTTTATTTGTTATTGTTTTTTGGTTTTTTTAGCTCCCTCTCTTCCTCCTCTTTTAGCACTCTAATGAGACAAATGTGGGATCTTTTGTTACAGTCCCACAGGTCCCTGAGACTCTGTTCATTTTCTTTTCTCAATCTATTTCTCTATGCAATTTGGATTGGGTAATTTCTACTTTTTTATCTTCAAATTCAATGATTCTACCTCTAGCGGCTCCATTTAGCTGAGATTTTTTTTTAAGTTATTCTATTTTTCAATTCGAAAAATGTCCATCTTGTTCTTCTTTGTAACTTCTGTTTTTTGCTGTCACCTCATCATTGGCCCTGTTTACTGTCTTTTCCTATTCATATAGAGATTTTTCTAGTTCTTAGTATTATGAGCGATTTTCTCCAGAAATGTGAACTTTTAGGTATGATGAGACTCTGGATGTTATTTAAATCTTCTGTTTTAGCAAGGCTTCTCTGACACCGCTCTGTTGAGTTAAGCAGGGTGATGCCTCACTACACAGTGGAGGTAGAAGTCCAGATTCCTCTCTCTGCCTCTGTGTAGAGTATTGAGTATTGAGTATTGATGAAATGAGTATTGAGGAGTATTGATGAAATGAGTATTGATGAAAGGATTCTCATTGTTGCTGGGTGGGGGTGGAAGTTCAAACTTATCACTAGACCTTCACTGATCCCAACCTTGCTGAGAAAGGCAAGGGTACCTCATTACTGCTCCCAAGTGACCTCTATCATCTCCACACCATGGTAGAGTGTGGGGTGGAAGTGACTTCTTTACCTCCAGGTGGTGGTGAAATTCCTGAGTCTCCATCAGGCCACCTCTGTCACCACCCCATCAGAGAAGGGTTGTGGCATCTTAGTACCACTTGTGATAGTAGAAGTTCAGGCTTCCCCCATGGACTCCATTAACACCATGCAGGGGTGTAGGGGGAAGGGATGTGTTATCCCCCAGGGGAAATGAAAGTCCTGGCTCCCCAGTCAGCCTCTTCTGACACAAAACAGGGAGTTATGGCACTTTGTTGCCAACAGGTCGGGGGGACAGTCTAGTCTCCCCACTTGAGCTATAGTATAAATGTTGGTGTAGGGCCACAGTATTTTTCTGTGGTGTTTGGCTGTAATAGAGCAGTTATTGACTAAAAGTTTACTCTATTTCTAGTTGACTCTTTTCCTGTTCCATTGGCTAGAGATAGTAGACATTTTTTGAGGTTTTATTTGTTTGTGTCACTTAGCATTTCTGGACTGCTGGCTTCTCCCTCACCTGTTCTGCAATATGTCAAGCAAAGAGCAAACTTTTTGAGTCTTGAGGTTGCTAGCTGCTCTGCCTTCTTATTTTTAACTTTCAAAGCCGCCTTATGTTTGTTTTATACAGAGTTTCCAAGAGTTTTAACCATAGGTAGCAAAATGAATAGGGAAAACTTTTTCTACTCCATCTTCTGGAAGGAAGAGCTGTATTCACTTTTGAAATGATTAATTCAATACTATATCCATTTGATAATTCTAAACATTAACAGCCAGTTTTTGTCTTTGTTTCAGAGAGATGTTGGTTTTACTCCAAAATACTTTATATTGGAAAAAAAAAAAAAAAAAAACATGCTAAACCTAACTATAAGTTGAGTCTAATAGGAATTTGGTATGACACTGCTATTCTCCTAAGATTGAATCCATTGCTATTACTTGCTTTCCTATAAAAGCAAAATTAAAAGCAAATAAGCAAACAAAACAAATCTAGAAGTTATATTTTTGCAGTATTATAATTTAAATTTAATTAAATACGTTTCTAAATTTGGCAAGTTAAACATAAAGCCTTAAAAATTTGAGCAAAATTGTTTCAAGTGAAAACCTGAGCTTGAAGCCAAGAATGCACTAACCATTGTTCTTGAAATGTACAAATGGATACAAATTAGCATACAAATGTCCTGATGAAATTCTTTTTGTGTTCTAGAAGCTTATTCCTGGAACATATATAAATGTGAAAGGTGCACAGAAGCAAAAAACATGAACTGTAATTAAAGTTAATTTGAACAATACTTATACAGATCTGTGAGGAGCACATTATTATTATACTAATATGAGCAAACTGAAAATGACAACATATTTGTTATCACTTAAACTGGATCAATCTTATGAAACGAATCTTTCTTCAGTCCACTTCAAAGACATGAAAATTTCAACGTTTCATATTCTTTATTTCCAAATAATTTTCTTGACTCACTCACTTACTCAGTAAATATGTACTCTGTGCCATATTATGTCACTTCAGTTGTGGAGACACTGCTTTATGACAGTGGTTTTCAATCTTTAGTGGCAAGAGGAATCACCTGGAATGCTTTTTTGTAGTCACAACCCCTCAGTTTATTCCTAAAGATACCGATTTAGCAGTCTCAGCTTGGGCCCAAGAGTCTACAGTTTTAAGAAATTCTTCATATAACTCTCATTCTTATTTGTATATTGGTCTGCAAACTACACTATAAAATCACTGTCCTATATAATCTTCGTAGTTCCCTCTGGTTCTCATATTCTTTTTCTCTCAGCATTTAGGTCATTGAACTTTTCTTTGTTAAGTTCAGAGATACAAGTGCAGGTTTGTTACATACATAAACTTATGTAATGTGGGCTTGTTGTACAGATTATTTCATCATCCAGGTATTAAGCCTAATATCCACTAGTTGTTTTTCCTGATCCTCTCCCTCCTTCCACCCTCCATCCTCCAAAAGGCCCCAGTGTGTGATGTTTCCCTCTATATATCTGTGCGTTCTGATAATTTATCTCCAACTTAAAAGTGAGAACATGGGGTATTTGGTTTTCTGTTCCTGTATTAGTTTGCTAACCATAATGGGCCTTCAACTTCATCCATATTTCTGCCAAGGACATGATCTTGTCATCTTTTATGGCTCCATAGTATTTTATGATATATATATATGTATCACATTTTCTTTATCCAATCTATCACTGATGGACATTTAGGTTGATTCCATGTCTTTGCTACAGTGAATAGTGCTGCAATGAACATATACATGCATGTGTCTTTATAAAAGAATGATTTCTATTCCTTTGGACATATGCCCAGTAATGGGATTGCTGGGTCGAATGGTATTTCTATTTTTACATCTTTGAGGAATTGCCACACTATCTTCCACAATGCCTGAACTAATGTACACTCCCACCAACAGTGTATAAGCATTCTTTGTTCTCCATAGCCTCACCAGCATCTGTTATTTCTTGATTTTTTAACAATAGCCATTCTGACTAGTGGGTCACTGAACTTTTAAAGGAACCCTGTAACTTCTAGGAATGTTAATGAGCTTATCCAGCCAACTATCAAATAACCAACCTATTCTAGAAGGATGTGTTTTCCAAGCAGAAATTTCAGTCATTCCTGGCAATTTTTTTAAATCCTGTTTATATCTGGCTGGACATCCTGAAACCATTCAAGGACGTCTACCTCTGTGAGAGCTACACATGGGATTCTGTATCACCTAGAGCCATCAGAAAAATCATTTCATTGAAATGCCTTTAACATGCTTATATTCAATATAGAAGCAATATAAATTGTATCTTTCTTAAAATTTATATAAGAAGGTCTTTGGTTAAAAGAATTCTGTATTTTTACAAGTTGTATTTAATTTATTTATTGTTCTATTTAATGTGTTTATGCAGTTCAGGTTGAATCCCAGCATAGTCATAGATAAGCACCAATCATACTAATAACTGTAAAATAATAAGCTATCACTGACTACACTAACATTACATTATAGCAAAATTTTAGCCAGATACTAATATCTTGCATATCAATGATCAGCATATCTGAGTTTATTTCACAGGGAGTCTCAAAACAAATCAAAAATCTATTTGTTCCCTTATAACATTTAGAAAAGATCCAATATTAAATCTGCATTGAACATGGAACTTGCTTTAGCTACTAAAAAATGAATAAATTAGAGGACAAACTAGAAGGTATTATAAGTAGGTAAGTACAAAGACTTAACCTTATCTTGATTTTTTATTCTGACTTACAAGGAAGCTAATACATATATATTTAACTTACCTCACTCATTTGGAAAGAGTAGTCTATATGTTTATTGGCGTGTTCCCCTAAATTAAATAAGAAAGAGAAAAACACGTTAAATTAGTCAACTGATCAGAATATGTTCAGAAGTCTGTGTAAGGAAAAAATATGAATTGAATGAATTAAAAAATTCAAAGGAAACATACTAGAAGAAAAGATGCAAGGTTATTCAGGAGCTAAATTGTTTAAAACAGACTCCAAAAGAAGTCTTACCTAAAACTGCCTATAAAAGGAAAAGCATATAATACTGATGTGTAAAACGCAATCTCAGTTACTGAGAAATAAACTTAACTCTGATCAATGCAGTTATCAATCTATAACCACAAAACCACTAAGAGTAAAATACCCAATAAAGTGTCCATTGATATCTCTTAATTCTCACCATGTGAGATTTAATATTCTCTCGGCTTGTTTTCCTGATGTCAAACCAGACAGGTTGCATGTAGAACACTATCAGTTTCTAAATAGGCCAAAGTACTTTCCGGACATACAGATAGCCCCGTAATGGTTATGCATTTAGTCGTTTGCGCTAAAATACATGTTCAGATAAGTTTATGACACTAAAAAAGTTAAAGATAGAACTAAAATTCTTATTCTTATTTTCTAGTGGTTCCAACTTGAAAAAGCCCTAAGATATATTTAAGCCAAAAACTACATATATATATACACACACACATACACACACACACACATATATACACACACACACATATATATAGGAGAAAATATCACAATGGTAACCGCATAAAATGCTAGCACTTTAAGTACAAGTTAGTAACTATAATTTTAGAAATAGGATAGAAAAACTGGTGAATGAAACTGAACAGAGCCTAGAACAAGACACTTTATTATATGGAAACTTGATATTGAACCATTGTAGGGGTTGATTAATGTCTCTCCTACACCCAAATTCATGTCCATCTCAAATCTCAGACTGAAACCTAATTTGGAAATGTAGTCTTTACAGATGTAATTAGTTAAGGACCTAGAGATAAAGTTATACTGGATTTAAGGTGGGCCTTAAATCCAATGATGGATGTCCTCCTAAGAAAAGAAGAGGGAACAGAGACTCAGAGGAAGGCAATGTGAAGATAAAAGCAGAAATCAGAATGATGTGTCTACAAAGCCAAAAAACACCAAGTATTTCAGGTGCTATAGTCTGAATGCGCTCATGGTGCAGAGCTCTTGTGAATGGTAATAGAGTCCTTATTAAAGAGATTCCAGAGAGCTGCCTTCCCTCTTCCATCATGTGAAGACACACTAAGAAGATGTCATTAATGAGCCAGGAAACAAGCCCTTACCAGACAGTGAGTTCAGTACCATGATCTTAGACTCCACAGCATCAAGAGCTGTGAGAAATAAATGCTTGTTCTTATAAGTAAAAAATAATAAAATAAAGCAATTGTATAAATCCAAAAAATATTTTAAAAATCTACTATTTGTATAGCTTATTCACAACCCAAGTATAATCGTCCAATTCCTTTTCATAGATCACACAAATCACTCAGTTAATCTCTTAAATAATTAAGCCCATTATATATATTAATTTATACTTGACAGAAATTCAACTATTATAGGTTGGCTAGGGAATAAGGTCCAAAGTTTTCTGCAGAGGAATATTTTGATTTTTGATTTGTACATTGGTTAAAACAAGGCTCGGATGTGAAAATAAACACTGATTTGCAAGAAAGCTTTATTTTATTTATAATTTTATTTTATTTTAAAAAGTAGATTTATGGTTCATAGCTTTGTTGGTATAAGATGGGGTTATTCTTGATATAAGTTTTCTGCCTTTGGCAAATACTAAAACTGTTTAAAATTAACTAAAACCAACCTATGTCTCCAGCCTCACCCTTTTGCGCTCTTAAGTCTGGCCCACTAGTCTCCTTTCAGATCCTTATATCTTCTTTCAGTTTCATTCTACCTCTTTGTGGGGCCTTAACACACAATTACTCCTCTGTAAGGAATGCTCTCTGCTATGGATTGAACGTGGCCCCCAAAGTTTGTGTGTTGGAAACAATCTGCAATGCAACCATGTTGAGAGGTAGGACCTTGAAGAGGTGATTAGGTCATGAGTGTTCTGCCCTCATAAATGAATTAGTGCTGTTATCACAGGAATAGATGTGTAACTACAAAAATGGATTTGTTATGAAAGAAAGTTAAGCCATCTCATGTGTGCATGCTCTCTCACCAAGTGATGCCTTCCACCATGTTATGACACAGCAAGAAGGGGCTCACCAGATGTGTTCCCCAATCTTGGACTTCCCAGCTTCCAGAACATGGACCAAATAAACTTCCATTGTTTATAAATTACACAGTCTGTAGTACTCTGTTATAACAGCACAAAAGAGAATAACACACTCTCTCACTCCCGACCTTGCCCTGGGTAATTCTTCACATCCGTCAGATATCAGCTTGAAAGTCACTTTCTCCCCAGGGAAGCCTTCTCTCATCTATCTGGCTAGTTCAAAGCATCTGATATATCTCTACTTGATGGCACTTGTCAGAGTTTCAATTTTACATGAATATGTGTGCTTTTTTATTAATATCTTTTTATCCCCAAAAGAAGATAAGTTTCTGAAAAGTGATCACAATTTCTAATTTTGTTCTTTTAGCATACTGATTGGCAAACGAAAGATGGCTGATAAACATTCATTAAAAAATTGAATGAGCAAGCCGACAATGGGAGCCAAGTTTTTCTACCACTGTGGCTGCAAATGAAAAGCGAAAATATAATCATAACTTGCCATGCACCAGGCACTGTGCAAAGAGGTATAACAAATATTTACATGGCATTTCCTTTGTATTACATATTATAAGTAATCTAGCAATGAATTAAAGCATGAACAAGGATGTGCATAGGTTATACGCAAATACTATGCCATTTCATATAAGGGACTTTAGCATCCTTGGATTTTGGTACCAGTGGGGTATCCTGAAACCAATGCCTGTGGATACTGAGAGACAACAGTACTCACACACATACATAACACACCGACACAACTTCTCCCTCTAAGTGATCATTCAAATCCTATATCAGCAGTTTTAAAGTACTGTCTGCCAATCCCTGTCAAGATACAATTTATTTTACTTGCAGTATGTGTCACATTTACATATTTTATTATTTATTTAAAGTTTTATAATAATATTAAAACCATATTTGTCTTTTCAATTCTGTCAACATTTGCACCGATGATGCAAAAACAATGGGATAAAAGTGCTGGTCCCATCATATGAATCAACTCCATGGCACCAGACTATACTAGCAGTCATTATATTCTCCACCATTATGCACTCTCAGCATAAAAAGAAACAAAAATGTAGTTTAACTTAAAAATGTCCTTGATAAACAGTAAAGCTTATGAAGTTTATAAAATCTTGACCCTGAACACACAAATTTTTAATAATCTGTAAAGAAACAGGAAGAATGCATTAAGCGCTGCTGCTGCATTCCAAAGTACCATGGTTGCCTCATGAAAAAGTACTTTACATTGCAAGGTAAAGCGGCTAAATTTTTCACAAAAGATCATTTTAGTTGAAAGCATGATGAGAAAACATATAGGGTCATACAGACCTGAATATTTGTCAGATATTACCTCAAACATTAATGACATGAATCTATCATTTCATGGAAAACACCTGAGAGTATTTATTGCCAATGATAAAATTTGAGTTGCAAATGAAATAATTTTTGTAAACTTGTGTCCGTCACTGTGAGCTTAACAGATTCCCAAGGCATTCCTGATGAAATCAGTGATGATGTTAGCATTACGTTTTGGTGTTTTAAAATGAAATATGTCAACATTTGGAAGATCTGTATAACTCAGTAGATAACTGTTTTCCAAATAAGCAATACATGATGTTACAAAACTATGCATGAGAAAAAGATACATTCAAAGTGAAGGAAAGACCAATAGATTTTAATGCAGCAGTGAAATAAAAGTTCATTTCAGTGGTTTCAAATTCTACATTATATCTAACTTTAAAGAACCTATTATACAGTGAATATGGAGGCAAATCAGAGAATATCCATAATTACTCAAAAACTCTTTAAAAGTATCCTCCTTTTTCAACTATAGATCTGTAAGAGGCCAGAATTTCTTCATACACTTCAACCAAAACACAACACATCACAACAGAGTGAATGTAAATGCAGATATGAGAATATCTATATTTTATCAGGCCAGAGATTAAAGAGATTTTTTTTTTAAAGTAGAACACTGCACTCTTATCACTAAATTTATTTTGTTTTAGAAAATATACCTATTTTCATAAAAATATGTTAAGATGAAATAGAAGACTCCTAGGCATGAGAAATTTGAGAAGATGCCATTTAAGAAAATAGGAGAGAGTGTTAATGGTGGGTGACTAATACAGCAGAGGCTGCAGGCTACTGACAAATATCTTTCCTCGTCCTCCTCCTTCTTTCCTAATAGAACCTAATTATATAGTGTAGTAATGTACTCAAGCAAGCAAAACATTTCCTAGCCTCCATTGCAAGAGTATGACATAAATTCAAAGCTCTTAACTGTCATAAGTGGTATGTCTATCTCATGATGTTTGTGTACGCACTAAATAGATAATGCATGTACTTGGCATATAGGAGGTAAATGGATGTTATTCTTGTTGATATTGTTGTTATTATTCTATTCTACCATTAAACTTCAAAACTGCTGTAAATTCCTTGGGCTAAGTTTCAGAATGTCAGAATAAAATTGAAATAACTCTTTTCGTATTCAGATCTTTGTGTGGCAGAATCTGCTCTTCTCTTAAAATGTTTTACTCTAAGCAAAACATGAAAACTAACCAACTATACCTATACCACTTAACTTTCTGAGTGCAGGCTTTCTCATGTAAAAGATACAAATCTAAAGAGAAATGCTCTGAAAAATATTAAACATCATACAATATTACCATCAATGGGTTTTACTCATAATTAATGCCTAAACATATAGCTCCAAACTCAGTTGATCCTGATCCTGATCATCTCTCATTAGATCTGTGAATGAAAAGGAGACCAATTTAG